ATCTGCAATGTTTCTGTTGAGAAATGTACTAATAACAGTGATGAAGATTCCTGATATATGATTAGTTAATTTTGCTCCTTCCAGGATACTCTCCTTGGCTTCTGGCAGCTTGATTGTAATGTCTTGGTGTGTGTCTTCTGGTTCTGTCCTGCTTTGAGTTCAGGTCATGAAGCCTGTTGTATCTGTATATTCACGTCTTTCCTCAAATTTGGAAAGTTTTTGAATCTTGTTTTTTAAGTTAATTTCCCTCTTCTTTTGTTTTTGCTATAAAAAATTCCTTGATGGAATTGTGTTGGTCTATTAGAGGTTGTCCTATAAGTTTCTTTGGTCGTATTTACTTTTGACTCTTTTTTTCCCCCCTTTTCTTTTTGCTCCTCAGACTCAACTCAGTATCAAATGACCTAACTTCAAAGTCCATTTTTTTCCCTCTGCCTCTCTCAGTCTGTCATTAAACCCCTTTTCAATTCAGTTATGTATTTCTGCTCAAGATTTTCTGTTGTTTTTACAATTCCTCCGTTTTTACTGAAATTCTCATTTTATTCATATATTGTTTTTCTGATATCTGTTGGCTCACTGTGTTTTTCCTTAGCTCCCTGAGCATATTTAAGATGGCTTTATGAAAACTATTTTTTTCAAGCAAATCCAATACCCATGTTACTTCAGGAATTATATCTGAATATTTATTTTGTTTTATTGAATGGATTTTCCTTTTTGTTTGTACTAATCAGCTTTTATTCTTTAATTTTTATTTATTGACATCTTAGGGTCTTGCTGACCCTGGAGGGACTGCCCCTTTCTTAGGCAAGTTAATTCCTAGAGATAGAACACAACTTACCTTCCAGAGTTTTTTTCATATGCAGACTATCCAATTCAGAACCCACACTTTACACCCCACACCCTTCACTGACCTCTTACATTTGGAGTAACTATTCCCCTTTCTAATCACCCCAGGACCAGATACCAGCAACCAGGGACAGCCCCTACACTCTAGAGCCTGCTGAAACTAACACAACCACCCAACCCCAGATCTGCATACCCTAACGTGCCCCATTCACCCCCGCAAAAAAAAAAAAAAAAAAAAAAAAAAAAAAATATATATATATATATATATATATATATATATATAATGCTCTTGCTACTAAATCTTTCTTCTATTCCCTCTCTCCTTATGAACCGTGGTCTTTCACCTGTGGCCCAGATTGGTGTGATATGACCCTTTATTGTATCTGTGAGTATGATAAACTATCTTTTCAAAGGCAATTGTTTCCTGATCTAATGGCCTCACTTCACCTGTTCGATAACAAAACCCCAAATTTTGAGAAACCTTATTAAATTTTGTTGAAAATTGTGTATCTAACAAAATAACCACTTCCCCAGTGTAATACATTGGCTCTGGATAGGGAAAGACCTTACCTAACCAACCTGGTTAGTCTCCTCAGGCCTTTCCTGCACATATGTTTTCTATAGGCCTGTGGATTTGTTTTTACTAATTCCCCCCATGCACATGGCTACCTTTAAATACCTTAATTCCTCTTAGAGTTTTGGTCCTGCTTCTTCTTGGGCCTTAGTGGTTCTATTACATTCCTTAGTCATCAGTCTTCTGCCCTAGCATCTGCTGGTCTACAATTCCATGATTTTCACAGAACACATCACAGCTCAAAGAAAGAAACTGGGGATTTGGCCACCACTTCCCCCAAGTCATACCAGGCCACACCAGGGAGGGAAACACAAGAACAAATTTAAAAAAAAAAAAAAATTCTGCTTTTTCTTTATTGGATTATTGCTTGTTGTAGAACTTTTGATTGAAAGAGCTCATAAAGTTAATTTAGTCAGTTTCTAGGTGTTTTTATTTAATGTTTCCACGGGGGAAATGAAGGCCTGATGCTTCCTACCCTGATATCTTGATGATGTATGAGTCTTCCTTACTTCATCTGTAAAATGAATGCATCTGCATCTCTGTGAATGCTGTGAATCTCTAATCTAGCAGCAGAAAAACTCTGATAGCAAAATTCATTTCCACCTGTTCACCTTAAATGAGACCAGGATAACAGCAGCTACTCTGTTCCCTCCCCTGAACACCCAAGGGAAGGAAGAAGAGGAGGGAGCTGGCCAACAACCAATGCTGCAGAAAGTTAATACTCTGTACCACTAAATAAATAAGTAAATAAATAAGAATAGTATGCTTAAATAAGCATTTCCTTGATTCTCAGACATAATTTCATAAATATATGCTCTCTCATACATTCTCCCTGTCAAAGTTTTACAGAGTTTTACAATTATCAAGGTCCACCACTGTCACTTTAGTCTTACCTCCTTTTCATAGAGATCAAAACAAGTTGGCATAAATTTCCACAATTTTTCTCATTTCCCAAGTTTCCACCATGGGTTTCTTTTCACTCCCCCTTGTATCACATGAAGATACGCCCACCTTTTCAAGATAAACCCCTTTACTTATGTTCTTTCTCTGCCTCTTTGTAAATCTTAATCCATCAATTTTCCTTTTTATTCCTGAATGTTCAAAACATATTTCTTCATCTCATCACCCTACCAAAACCTTCTATCACTCCTTATCTCACATACGTGTGCAAGCATGCACACACACACACAAACACACACACACACAATTTCTCTTCTTCTTCTTTCCACAGTCAAATAAAGCAGAGTTTATCTGTTTGGTCTCCTACAGCCTTTATTTTCTCTGCTGTGTTCCCTCTACCATCATTTTCATTTCTATAACTCACTTGGTTTGTCCTATGCAGGTGAGCAGCCAAATCCTGATACTCCCATTCACCCTGATGACTCTGGAATAGTTCAACCCTTTTCCTACACTTCTTGAAACTCTGCACTTCCCTGGCCTCTGGGACAAGATCTGTCTACCTCTAGGGCTACAGCATCTGTGTTCCACCAATTATGTTCTGCCTCTGGCTCTTTTCTCTCTGTATCTTTGACCTGGGTGGGAGCTCATTTTTTGACCACCATTATCTTTTATTATAATTATTATTAAGGTTGGGGCTACGGTTACTGAGGACTTCTCTACTGAACTTTTCTCTCTAGTTTTCTGAATCCTATTGAACATTTCTGTCTATATGTGTGAATCAACCAGCACCTCTGACCCCGTGCAAATCATTTTGCCCCTTCCTTGAAAATGTTTCTTCCTCCTGACATTTCTAACAATGCCATCAGTACTGAGTAGTAAGTCATTCAATTTAAAAAGCTCAGATTTATATTTTAGATTCTTAAATCCTTTCTTGTCCAACCTTTTCTCCCATCTGTTTGAACTTTATCATATTTTTTTTCTTCCAGATTTATCCTGGCCTTGCATGGATTCCTCTAAATGGTAAGAGCATCCTTCCAACAGGTCACTTGATTGCTATCAACTCTCCCCTTTAATTTATGGCTTTCAAGTCACTGTTCATAACATATTACCTTGATCATGCCATTCTTATCCTCAAATAATGGGAAAGACTGTCTAATGCTATCAAAGTTCATACTCCTTACCCTGGCGGTCAAGGTCAGGCAGAACTTGACCTCAAATGATCTTTCCAGAGGGATCAACAATTATCTCTCTCTCTATTCAACTTTACAATGAGGTCAAACTGACTCTCAGGTAAGGTGAATGCACACTATGATTTCTCTTGCTTAGACCCAGAATGGTTTGCTGACCTCAACCTTCTGTCCTTTAAGATCCAATGTAAATTACTCCCTTTCATGAAGATGCCCACCAGAAGTAACCTCCCTCTTTATGGAATAGAAAAGCAAAGGCTCACTATAAGCTAGACATAGAATCCAATCAAGGACTTAGAGTCAAACATTTTCAGAATCATAGCTGATAGGTGATTTTTCTGAACATCAGTTTTCTAATCGGTAAAGGAAGCAAATATTGCCTATGTTCTAAATTGATATAAATATTCAATTGAGACGTTGGGTATTCAAATATCTCATGGAATTCTTAGTACATTTCTATTCCTTAAAAATGACATTCTACTATCCCTATTCTGTATGACTTTATACTTTTATACTTCTCTTAGTCATATTCATTTGTATTGTTTTTTATTACCTCCTATAATTATGAAATGATTATTGTGCTGCAAAATACATTTATTTTATTTTTAAAAACTGTTAAAAGACTGGGGACATAGCTCAGTGGAAGAGCACTTGTACAGTGCTAGGTCCTGTGCAAGGTCCTGCATTCAATTCCTGACACACACACACAAACACACACACACACACACACACACACACACACACAATTGGCAGGCAAGGAAAACAAATGTGGAAACATAAGGTTGGAGTCAAGTAAAAGCCTATCAGAGTAATTTTTCACCATTGATTTCTATGTGAATTAATGCTCCAACAAATGCATTTTGTGAATAAATTGTAATGGATAAGGCCCATCTTTGCTTATTCTTCTTGTTTTTCTCCTTCCTGGTTTTTTTCCTAAGAAACTGAATTAACTTGATAAATTACAGTTTTATCTATTCAAGTAAAACCAATATTCTCTTAAACCAATAAATTAATTCCAGATTCCAGAAATGGATCTGTGTCATTTACTAAAATAAGAAAGCATAAGTAATCAGTCAGTGATCAACATAGATAATTGATGAATTGAGGGCCCATAATAAATCACTTTCCTAATGATAAAACAGGGGTGAATAGTATTCTACACTGCAGAATTCCATACAATAGTCTTTAAAAAGAGAATTCATCCTTGCTTCTCTAAGATGTGAAAGCCACAGAATCATTTGAAGAGAGAACTCACAAGTCACCTTTGGCTCACCTCATCTTGCAGATGAGGTCACAGTTTCAAGAAGGTTCAACATTTCATAACATACACACAGAAGCAGAGAGCCTGCAATTTGTATATCTTTACACATCGGTTGACTATTGCTACAGACCTTCCCACTCTTCACTTTCCTATTCAAAACCTTTTCTGTTTCTTTCATTTTTAAAAAATATTGTTCTCTGGAAAATAGTCTAATAATACATGAAAATAACATTACCGTATTGTCTCCAGTCCACAGCAGGGGGTAAGTGTCGCCACAAAATAATGTTGTTTAGATGATTTAAGTAGGAGGGTAGAGAGTGAAAACCCTTCTGATTATACCACACCTAAAAGAGAAATAACTTAATGACTCTAATGAAATTATTCTTTAAGTCTATTCTGGGGCCCAGGAATGCATGTGTCAATTAGCTTCAACAGCACCTGAATGCAGGACTCAAAGTAACGTCCTGGCTTGGCTGACAGTGAGCAGTCAATTCTAGTCTGCTAATTTTATATTTATCTCAAGCATATAATTTACAGCTAAAAATAGATGAATTTTCCCCAGAACAAATGTGAATGTTGCTCTATAATTATAGTCTCACAGGGGAAAAAGGAACTGAAGCCCATCATTTTTTTCTTTCTCAGTTGGTAAGCTAATGAAATTTGACCTGCAAATTAAAAGCGTGGAAGATGATCAGAAAAAATGATTACTTTCAAATTAATAACTGAATGTGGAACATTATTTCTCAAAATAAATCGAATTGAACATTTGCTGAGCATGGAGAATACAGCCACGTGCCTGTTGGATAGGAGAAAGTTAACGGAGAAAAAAAAAGAAAGAAAGATGGTGTTATTAAAATTGGCATAATAAGTATCATAAAAAATACTGATAAAACTATCACTACCTATATTTCAAGATATCAATATTTTAATGAAAAATATATGCTTGGTCCGGAAAGCATGATAACTTCAAGAAATATAAAGAATCAATCAGCGCATGTGGGTCTTAATTTAAGTGAATGAAGAGCTCATTTCTCTAGCCAATCCTGTCTTTTGTAACAAACCATTTTGAAGAATTAAAGCTACCCCACAGAAAGTTAACTCACAGAAAAACTATCTAAGTTTTCCACAGAAGTTTCTCCAAAATTAAGAACCAGTCCTCAAGTCACTTGCCTGCCAACCCAAATATTTTTAAAGTGGGATCCTGAGTGATAGGTATTGTGTTGATAGGAAGAGCTGAGTAATTTAAATATTGCTCATGTCATTAAAAAAAAAATCCTGCTACACAAGACAATATTCCCTAACTCTTTCTCATTCCACTTCATAAACAATTCATAAAACAGACCCGCTCATCTCTTTCACATTGCTAATCTCCTTATTCAAATATTTTCTTAGGTTCATTGAGTAATCCTTGCCCATCATCTTTTAAACTCCAAGGAGAAGGACTACAGCTTGAGAACTACTAATCAGAGAACTCAGAACACTCTAAGATTTCAAGGCTAAAGAGTGTGGGATTGTACGAGATCCCCCCAAAATTCCTAAAGCAATTTAAACCTACAATTCTGCAAAGGAGAGGAAAATATGAGTCCTTTAGTTAATACTGAACTGAGAGTATACATCACACATCAGAAGTACGTCCACCTCTTTCACTCAACATGGGGAGAGTCTTCCACACAACTCTGTACCATCATCCCTTGGGGTCTCACCATTACATCACATCCCCTAAGATACACCTGAATAGATCCCATATTTCTGGAAATTATACAAATCAACAGAAATTAGACTTTGGTCAGAGTCAAGGGACAGCTAAAACCCATTGCTTTTGGATCTGAAATCTCCCACTTACCCTGCCCATGACCTTCCACCATGCAAGTTTTGGTCCCTTAATTGATTAATTGGAGATAGAAATAGCAGAGACAATGGTAGTCTTTTACCTTGGATCATGGGCTTTCAAATTTTGTTTCATTTGTTTGTTTTAATCTTTATTTTAAAATCAGAGTAATTTGTTTACACTTAAAAAATAACACAATACAATGGTATAGTATCTAAAGTGTAGTATCTAAAGTATCTAAAGTATTCTTTGGTGGAGTAGAACTGGGGAGACCAGAACCTGCCTTCTAGGCCTTTCTTGCCTCACCCTCTCTGGGATCTGAGGCTTGTGTTGATGGTTTAATGGCCCCAGTTCCTTACCATTCATTAATCTGCCCTCTGCCATGTGACTTTCACAACTTCCCATTCTTGACTCTGTGTTCAGCCCCACAAGGGGCTTTGATCCACAGATACTGGCGGAGCTCTGAAAGCACAGGTCTGTTCCTTTAACCTTTTCTGTGCCTCTGCTATGGAGCATGGCTGGCTGACCCACTGGAGGTAAGACACAGAGGCATGGCTGAGCACCCCACACACTCTCTAGTTCATTTCTATAATTTTATGTAGCCTCACTTTCAGGCCAGAAGGAAGGCTCTGTCAATTTCAACACTGTTTCCCGTTCTGTACCTCCTCTCACTTTCTCAACACAGGTTATTCAGAAGTCTACCTTAAGCATCTTCCTCCTGGTGACTATTTCCCTATGGAACAAAACAAATCAAGGAGATACAGCATACCTAACTGAGCCCCTTATTTGCATATCCCCCTGCGAATGGTGCAAATATGCCACAGTGACCAGTTTTCAGGGTGACCTCCTAGAACTTGTGCCTGCTTGCTTTGAACCCACCAGTTATATCCCCCCTGTAGGAAACCTGTTTGGGTAATATTCCAGACCCAACAAAGGCACTGGCCCAGGCCCCTGCCCTACCTCTTCACTCCCTCATCTCTATGTATGTGTCCTCTGGCCTGCAAATAATAAAATACCTGTTTTTCATCCTATGTCTCCTCTAATCGTGAAAGGGATGCTCTCCATCTTAAAGATTTTAAATTACAACACCAACCATCATTGCAGCTCAAGCCAACAGCCAGCCAACCACACACACACATACGCTCATTCCTAGACAGGAACAGTCCCACCTGGCCTAAAGGAGAAGAATCTCCCAGACCCATCAGCTAATCAATGTCTATTGTCGAGGTCTATGAAGTTGGTAATTATTGTTATACAGAATTATTGTGAGAAAAGATAACTGATAGAATAATTAGCACTGGGAGGGATATTGTTATAACAAAAACAACAGAAAGTGACGAAAAGATACATAGAGGCCAGGACAGGTGGCCTATATCTGTAGTCCCAGCAAATTGTAATGCCAGTGACTCAAGAGAATGAGGCAGGAGGATCACAAATCCAGGTCAATCCAGGTAACTGAGGTCAATCCAGGTAACTGAGTGAGACACTGATTCAAAATAAAAAAACAAAAAAGAACTGCTGGAGTAGCTCAATGGTAAAGTGCTCCTAGGTTCAATTGCCAGGACCAAAAAATTTTTTAAAAAATTAAAAAATAAAAACACTTAAAGGAGTTTGGAAATAGATGAGAAAACCTATAGGAATGATTGGAAAACAAGTGGCAATAAAACTTTTTCAAATAAATGACAGTAAAAGCCTACAGTGGTCCCTATTATATAGTATCAAAGCATTTGGTAAAATTGTCACCTATGAAAACTTTGAAAATAGGAGATAGAAATTATGCCCCAAAAAAACTGGATTGGAGATTTCTAGGCAAAATGTTGAAATATATGGCTTCAGAATAAAGATTAAGGGTATGGCTGTGAGGACTTTGTTTAAGACCATAAAAGAATACATGGTGCTTAACGACCATGTCAGGGGGCCAAAAGGGCATGGAATTTAGGAGGTATTGCTCCCTAGTACCCTGATATTGCCCAATTTCATTTTAGAAAGAGCAGCCTGTTTCAACAAGAATCAAGGAAGTGGCTTGTGGACCTGAATTAAATAAATATAAGAGGCCTAGAGTGTTCTGCAGGGAGTAATACCCCTGACCCAACAAAGAAATACCATCAGGCTAGACTCAAAGTAAAAGGCAAACAGGCCCTAGAGTCCAGCTTCCTACAGGCAAGTTGAAACCTTGCTCAAAGGCATAGTTACAAATATCCTCTTCACATGTAGTCCTGGAGGGAGATGGAGAGAAAGCATTTGGCAGGGAGTAGAGGTTAGGGTGACAGTGACAGACTGAAGAAGAGTGTCAGGAAGCAGAACCAGAGACCAGCTAAGGATTATCTCACAGCTGGGACTCCAAGGCCCTGCCAAGAGAGCTCACAGCAGCCCAACCCAATAAGCACAAGTATGCTGCTGATGGTTTGTGGCTGTTTATAGCATCATTTTGGCAATAAATGATTGATTCACAGAGTTTCAAGGAAACAGGCTTAACACGTTCTTGAGACCCTGTATCAGTTCTTCTCTATACTGACTTCACTTGAGAGTGCTTTTCTAAATTCTTTAAGCAATGCATACTGTCTGGTGAACTTAAAATTAGCATGTAGGATTTGGCCTCATTCAATGAAAGAGCTTTTCTTGCTTTTTCTTCTTTCCTCTAAAGAACAGTTTTCTAAAATTGGACTGTGTTCTGAAAATAAGTTGTTGGATTTCCTTCCCTGCTGGTCCCTACATCAGGTAGTGATAATGTCTAATGAGTGAAATAGGAAGTTAATCTGCTTTTAGGAACATATTATGCCACCTCAAAGTAGACCTTTCATCGCAGGAGTCCTGAGCAATGTCTCCTCAGAAAGTAACTAAGCAGAAATAAGAAAAGAAAATCACTCAGAAGATATTCACATGCAAAATTCCAAGCAGAACAGAATGTATGGGGGCGGGGGGGAACAAGAGAGGCAAAGTATCTGGTCTTTGTATGAGAAGTGTATATGTTCTAAAGACTGTTTAAATTGAATAAACTAAACATTCAAAATGTGAGTGAAAGGACTCATAATTCATGGAAAGTTTGTATGAGAGACATTCTACAGTGTAATGAATCATACATTAAGAATACTCATATGCAAATTTTCCATTTTTCGTCCGGAAGGACTGTGAAAATCATATCATCTATGTCTTACTAATATAGCCGAGAGTCTGAAGGAAAAGGCTGGCTGGTCATTAATTACTGAAAGGTTAATGTTATCATTTGATAGGTCATCAGCCACCACCAGCATCCAGTGAGTTTTTCAGGTAACAGATTATCCTTCACACCTCCCTGCAATATCAGTTCCTTTCCCTCCTGGAAAGAAGCTCATTCCCCAAAGAGACAGATATAATTCACTTGCATGCTTGTGCCTGGCAAAAAAAAAAAAAAAAAAACATGTCAAACAATGAAAACTCCAGAAGTCACCATTCAAGCATGCCTGGTGCAGGAAAAACAATCAAAACAATGTGAAACAGAAACACATGAATGAGTGGCCCCTGAGCACCTAAATGCAAGGACACAAGCACCCACTATAAATAAAGAGGGTCTGGATTTGGAGAGAATAAAAAGCAAAAATATTCTTAGAGGAAAGCAACAGATTCCTTCTACAAATCAGGCACGTTTTAATATTGGCTACACATGTTCCAATCTATGCCAGCAAATGTATTTCAGGGTGTCTATCAAGCTATGAATGATATTTTCACACCAAGCTATAAAGCTCCTCACGTATGTTGACTTTAAAAAAGGTTGGGGAGGGGGAAAGATCTGAACAAACCTTGCTGAAGAAGAGATTTTTGAGCTGTCCACACTATGACATAGAATTTTCTTCAGGGATTATATTTAAAGCAAGACTGTTAACATTTTCATCAGGAATAACACTGTGAAATACATGTGAGGAGTCTTTATTCTCCTGAGGGAGCTTTCTCATGCACAGGTCCTAATATGAATTAACTTTTCCAGGTTCCATATTTCCAGGTTAATCCATATTAGGACCTGTGCATGGAAAGATATCTGGAGGGTATCTTCTGGGAAGATCATCAGTTTCATTAATTCTATGTTAAGGTGAAGTGCAGATGAGATACCCACATGATAGAAATGAACAACTTTGGGTCATTTCTACACTGATGTCCTAACACGACTGACAAGCACTTTCTTACAGTGGACTTACTTTCCTCCCACAATCTACTTTTTTCCCAATTTCTCTCTCAGTAGAACACCAAACTATTTCCCCAGTCATGGAGACCAAAACTAATTTTTTCAGCTTTCCCCAGTTCAAGATTGTGTTGATTTTTTTTTCCCTTAGAAAAATCTGTAGTATTAACTAATTCTGCATTGCTATTGGTGGATAAAAGCATGTTCCTCTATCCCAGTTTCTCACACCTGGCAAATCTTGCCACCTGTTTTCTGTAATTCCAAAAAAAAAAAAAAAAAAAAAAACCTATACCTAATTAATAGGATACTCCTACCAGGGCTTGAAAATCTGGGGGTCCTTTGAGCTTCCTGTGTATTTGCTGATTTCTCAATGTCACCTCTGTGTCCATCAGCCTTTTGGAAGATAAAGAATTAAAGTGTATGCATAAAAGAATTTTTTGGCCACTGGGGACAGTAATGACATTTCTACTTATCACAACTATGATATCTCTAAAAATACATTATCTTTACACTTGTTTTGGTCTTATTAAATGAAGTCCTGACTTAACAAAAGCAGGAACCTGTTTGCTCTATTTCCACACAATCTAAAGTACAAAATTTCATTTCCTCTCTCAAGGAAATGTTTACATACAACTATTCTTATTCACATAAAGTATTAGGATTTGATCCAGCCCCTACTACTACTCAAAAATCTATTTGGATTTTTAATTTTCCTAAATACTTTCTAAAATTGGAAGGAAAAAAAAAAAAAAAAAAACAATTACCTTTGCCAGAGTTCTTGGTTTCGACTTGTTTGCATTCACATCTTGAATTTCACCGGGGTCTTGCACTCCAAAAGACCAGCCTCCAAGCCTGTTAAAAGTAAACATGGGGTTAGTGCTCCAATCAGTGGGCACCAGGACTTCTACCCAGAGGGTATTTAGTTACCAACCACATGAGGTATGGCGCTCTTAGGACCATGGCCAGCTGAATCTCTCTGATCGGCAGAATGACCAACCACACAGCCTAAGGCACATGCTTGCAGAAGTGACTACCCAATTCCAGCATCCAAGGAGGCCACTGCTTATGGAGTAGAACTAGATTAGCAAGTATATTTCTCAGAACTTACCACCTTGCTAGGAAATGCCATGCAAGCACATGGTGTGATCATCAGCAATTTATTTTAATCAAGGTCATTTCCTCAAAAAGCACACTATTTAAGATTACCTGGACCATTATGATATTGCATCCACCCTGGTTTGAAGACCCTACTCTACTCTTCTCATTCACCTCTCATATCTCACCTGGGTCAGGAAGGCATCTGAATACAAGAGTTGAGTGAGATGTTCCTCCTTGAATTCTCCCAGTATCCTACATTCCCATATATTATATCAATTACCACCCTTTTTTAAAATCTTCTACTTACTACCTTATCTTTCATGTAGCTCTGTGAGCTTTTCCTAGGTAGAAATTATAGATTTAATTTCTGTTATCTCCATGGGCTGCATGGTATCTGACATTTATTAAACTTTCAAACATAACTGACATTAGAAATAAAGGCACAGGGCTGGAGATGTGGCTCAAGCAGTAGTGCGCTCGCCTGGCATGCACCGGGCGCTGGGTTCGATCCTCAGCACCACATAAAAAATAAAATAAAGATGTTGTGTCCACCAAAAACTAACAAATAAATATTTTTAAAAATTCTCTCTCTCTCTCCCTCTCTCTCCCTCTCTCTAAAAAAAATAAATAAATAAATAAAAAGAAAAGAAATAAAGGCACATATTAAACACTGTCCCCCACTCTCTGGATAGAAGGAGATTAGAGAACAGTCCTATACATGGTAACTCTACTTGCTACAAAATTTGAGGCAAAGGAATAGGAATGCACTCCTACCTGGCTCAGTTAAATTCACTCATTCATTCAACAGATACTCACTGAGCACCTTTGAGGTGCCAGATACTATTCTAAGTTCTGGGCACAAAAGATCCTAATTAAAAATTAACCATCAGGGTTAAAAAAGGAAGCTAGAGGTTATAGGACATTTTTATGGATGCTAGAAGGTGGGGAAGCAGGAGAGACACAGTTAAAACACATTGGGGTAGAAAAGGTTGATGTTCAGGAGGATGAGGATATGCTGGTCTGACAAGGGCAAAGAGGAGACAGAAGGCCTTAGGTATCTCAGGCAACATGGACCATCTAAATGAAACAATGCATTATATTTGGCAGGCTTAGGAAATTTGACAGTGAGGTGAATGCTTCTGAGATTTTAAAACAAAACTTCTTATTCATTTCTGCCCTCCATCCCTTTCTCTAAATTCACCTCCTCAGGCTCAAGGAAAATCAGCACAAAGCAAAAGCTTTACTCAAAATCACCCAAAGGAATTTTAAGATACCATTTGTACCCAGGTGCCCATACTAGATGTGGCAAAGTATAGGGAATTCTAAAAAGAGGCCATTATTTCATTATGCTGTTAACTCATCTGCTTGAATTCCCTAAAGCAGTAAAACTGCTTCTGGCTCCCCAGCCTCTACCACTGATGGAATCTCAATTGATATGATTTCCCCCAATGCTTCAAAGATTGAAAACCAGCAGTGAGGAATCTGATTAAGGCCCACAGCATATCTTTGGAATTTTTATGAATACCAAGGTGAGTATTAGACTTCTGAGAGTTCATGAACATTAACATTTGAAACAATAGGTTCTTCAAAGCACAGCTGGCACTCGATAACCTTGGGTCCTACAAACATGGGTTCAACCAACCAAGATAGAAAACACACAGGAAAAAAATTGCTATGTACTAAACATCTGCAGACTTCTATTTCTTGTCATTATTACCTAAACAGTACAGTATAACAACTATTTAGGCAGCATTCACATTGTATCAGTTCTAAGTAATCTAGATATTTAAAGTATTAAAAAGGACATATGCAGGTCATATACAGGTACTATGCCATTTTATATAGGGGACTTGAGATTCTGCAAACTTTGGCATCCTTGGGGCTGCAGGAATCAATTACCAATATGTAAGGAGCAGGACTATAATTCAAAGACAATAGAAAAGATAGAGGGACAGTTGTAACACACCTTGGTTTCTCAGATGGCATCAGCAAGTACTGCTCCACATTGAAGCCTGAGAGATTGAGCAGGGTATGGCCCAGGCAGTTGGTCAGGTAAGGAGCCCCAACACTTCCATTTGGACACTTCTGTAATAGTTTTCAAAGGATAAAATAGAAATGTTTCCATAACCCACAAACCAATTTACCATCTTTGCTTTAAACGAAATGTGATTTTCTTGTCTTTCAGTTTTTAATCAATTATCTTCAGCCTTTTATACATTCTGACTTCTAAAATCTCTTTAAGAGTCTCCTATATTTGATAATTGTGCCAGAATTCCACTGCAACCTGTGCAGTCAATTATATCTGAGAACTTCAAATCCTTTTCTGTATGTAAGTTTGAGCAGATTTGTAAGAACTAAAAAGAGAGAAATGTTTTCACTGGGGTGATCTTGTGTTTGATGAACCTGAAAGAGAGTCAGAGGTAACTAGTGGGAGGGAGATAAGCAGAAGAATTCAAAGGCATGTGCTTCTTTCATAAGTGTCTAAAGTAGAATTCAAACAGCTCTCTCCTGGCAGCTGACTAGAGTGCTAGAACCACGTCTGAATCAAGAAATGACCACCAAACGAGGTGGGAGTCAGTGGTCACAGCTACGCACCTGACCTCAGACAAGTTCAGACTATATGGATATGGACTTTGCTTCAAATTGGGAGATAATAATATAATAGAAATAGGAAATGACCGATTCTAAGCCTTTCACTCCAGATTTGGAAACTTTTTTTTCTTATTTGCAAAATGGAAATAAAAACAGCCCTACCTGTGCATGGGTTTGTCATTAGATTCAGAAATGCACAAAAGAACTATGAAAAAGTAAGAAGGGTTGTTTGTATATGCTCAAGATATTTCTCTTAAGTTCTTGATGACAAGGCTTGAGGAAAGACAGTAAGAATAAGAATTGTTGTAAGCTGTAGTCCAGCCAAATTCTCACTCATATGTTAAATCTAAAAAGGTTGGAGTTAAATAGATAGGGGGTAGAATGGTGGTTTCCAGAGACTGGAGGAAGGAATGAGTGGGAAATGGAAGGATGTTGGTCAAAGCACACAAAACTTAAACAATAGGAATGCGTTTAAGAGACCTAGTGTACAATCTGGGGACTACAGCTGAGAACAATAGACTGCATACTTGAAAAATGCTGGAGAATAGATTTTAATTGTTCTCACCTAAAAAAAAAAAAGAGAGATACACTGTGGAATGGCTAAGTCAATCTATTTAATTATGCATTCTTTCAAGAATAGCTCAACTTAGCCATTCCACAATGTATACATATATCAAAACATCATGTTCTACACCACAAATACACACAACCTCTACCTGCCAATTAAACTAGAATGTAGAGCTACATAATTCAGCCAAACTTGATTACCTAACTCACAGATTGACGTGATAATCTTTAAGGTGTCCATGAGACAGATTGGCATCATGTGGCCACGAGACAATGAATGACAGAATCCCATAGGAACTGAAAGAGTGAAGGAATATATTCTCCTTTCCAGCCTTTCGAGAGAGCACCTTGACTTCAGACTTCAGACTGAAATAATACTGGTACTGATCTCAGACTTCTGGTCTCCAGAACTGTGTGAGAATAAATCTGTGTGTGTGTGTGTGTGTGTGTGTTTCAGTAACCCCGTGTTTTTAACATTTGTTACAGTAGCCACAGGAAACAAATGCCCCCTCCTCTCACCACCTATAAGGCCATATACATTCCTGACTGTATACAGTTGTTCATATGGTTGCTGTTATTCATAAGAGTGAGGGTCCTAAAACTTCCTGAATATTCTTCAGAGCTTGCTTAGTTCGCATTCACTGGTAGTTTTCCTAGTGGTGTCTTTTTCAAATAATGAGAACAACAAGTAACCTTGGAACATTTTTGTGGGTTTAGAAGAGCCATGATATATTGAAATGTGAGGAAACAGACACATCCTTGTGGACCCAGGACTTTGGGATGGCACACATAAATTTAAGGGGAGAGAACTATTTTGCCCTCTGCCAAAGAAAGTTAACTTGGCTTACCATGATCACTAAGGATCTGAGAACAGACCTTGGATGCGGGCCACCTTCCATGTACTTTCATGAGTGTTTCTTTGGAACCAACCCCAAGGAGCAACACCCTTTCCTTGGGGCCTTTATTATTCTCACCTGAACCCATTTTCTGTTGGGGTACTTTGATTTCTAATCAATTGACCAGTGTTTCTCAAAGTGTAACTCAAAAAATATGAACAAAACAAAACAAAAAAATGACTGGCATACACACACACAAAAATTAGTTAAATACTTTGCAGACTATCCTGCACTTCTTTTTCCTATTGCCAATTCAAACCCACATTGCTACAGCTTATTGAAGAGCTATGGCAAACAGACCTGCCTTAACCAGAACTTCCAAAACCTTAATATTGATTTAACTAGCACTTCCAAACCTTATTTGGCTATGAAACTTTTTCAGATGAAACCTTTCATTCTTATATACATTTTGCTAAAATCTTGCAGTTCATGTGAATGGGAATGAATTTATATTTTGAGGCTTATACAAATAAACCCCTAATATTTATTCGTTTATCCTTTAACCATTAACACCCAATCCAATTCCAATAAATTTTGGGTAAGCTGGTTAAAAAAAAAAAAAAAAAAACTACTGATACAATAGAATGATTAAATCAAGAGAATAAGCGCATGGTGTGAAACATTAGAAGTATTATGAGTGCATGAAAGAAACAACAGAGAAAGGCAAATAATTATGAAAAAAATATGAGCAAAAAATAGCTGGGCTAGCTGGTTACTACAAAGGGACACCAAACATAGCTGACCTTTTTGACCATAAAACCAAAAGGAACCGTGGAGAAATCTATCAGCCCACTCAGGTCCACCAACACTTAGAGTATTCATTATGGGAACTGAGTCACTGCTCTTTCTTACATTGCTTTGTCTAAGAGAAGAAAGCTGAACAAGCCCTCTAAAGGCAAACTTTCTTAAGTCACCAAACTGTTATGAAGAATTCATCTGTGGGCCATTACATAGAAAAGCGTGAAATCATATTCTCCACTCAATGAAGATTTTTTTTTTATTTTCCTTTTTTTTAGGTATATCAGGATTGCCACATTCTCTTGTTAACTGTGGATAACAGGTCTATGCCTTTTATTAATCAGATTTTGAGGTCTCCTTTGAGATGAGTCCCAATTCATTTTCCAAATAAATTTCAATTTGTTCTTCAGACTAGGGAGCTATGGCCTTCACATCAATAGTGGAACATCTACTTCCGTTTGTTTTTGTGTAAATCAACCATATTAGAAATGCTAAGTGGTATCTTCATTTTTAATATCTAGCTCTCGAAAATCAGATAAAAATATGATGACAGCCTTGATGTCCTCGAGCCTTGAAATGTGGGGAAATAACCTCATAAGGGGCTATTCTGGGTTTCATTAATAACTAAAGAAGATTTGCTTGCTTAATGAATGCCTATGGGGATGTTCATGAACAAGAGCAGTGGGCAGTGAGTAAGGGGAAAGGGTTGATTCTATTTAAGTGTCAGATGAACAACCAATGAAGTGAACCAAAAAAGTCCACAGGAACTTGAATAAGGAAAATGGAGATTTTACAGATGGAGTAAGTTCATTTTTTTTTCACTTAAGGTTTTTATTCAAAAAAGATCAAAAAATGCAGAAACCTACCAGGCAGCCACATGAATCCTGAAACTTCAGGTGAGGGAAGGTATCCCTAGACCAGCATGAAGAATTCTTCCTAAAGAACAAAGGAGAGAATTGGAATGATCTTTTGGATTACAAAGCTATTTTATTTCCATAAAAGAGAATCCCATCACAGTAGAACACAGTTCACAAGATAATCACCTCCTGCTGCCGTGAAGGCAGAGCTCTGACATTTGTTTTCCCAGCGTGAGCTGCTAATCTGATGACAATGTTTTATTGCAGTGCCAGTATTTCCATTATATGACATGATGCTTACTCGGCTCCCGGCTCCCTGTACCGTATACACTGCCCAGGGATCCTGGGGTTTTCACAGGGGCTCTGGGCTTGTGGCAAATCCAGAGGCTCCCTGACTCAACTCAGGTACCCCAAAGCAATTCATAAACACAGTAAACTTCTAATTCCTTTCTTTAGAATGACTCAGTAATTCAATCATCATTTACAGAAAAGCAGTTTTTACAAACTTTACTTTGGAGAAAGAGTGTGCAACAGAAGCAGTTATAAAAACAATAGTGGTTCAAACATTTTTTTTTTAATCAAGTTTTCCTGTAACTTGTTATCTTTGTGGGTTCCAGACTTTAAAATTTTTTTCTGAGATTTGCAAATCAAAATTTACGTTAGTAATAATTTTTCTTATTACTCAAAAATTGGGCAACTGAATTATGGGCATTGGCTAGATATCTTTACCAAATTTTTCTTATCCCCACTTTTTGGAAGAATAAGTGGACTCCTGAAAGGTTAAGCAGCTGACCCAAGATCACATAGCAGAAGGACTGGCCTGCTGAGCACCAAGCTCAGGCTTTCTGTCCAGATGAGTTGCTATCACAAGAGAAACTCAGTACAAAAATGACAAGTTGGAAAAAGTACAGGCCATGAAAGGAAAGTTGACATTTCTAATAACTAGGTTAGTAAAGTACAATTTCCAGGTAACTTTTGAAATATTAAAATTAATTTGAAGACTTCTCTACTACTACTTCCTTGACTGATTAATTTATGGGGACTTCATTTTAAGGATTAACAGTTAATTTACAAATAATACCTAAGGGAGTTGTGTATTTAATCACACTTCTTTTTATGATAATTGTTTTTTTAAAAATAATTCTGTTTCTATTTCTTAAACTCAGCTGGCCCTTTTTGCTTCAGATTCACACCACAGATGATGGGTATTAAATACTATGGACTGGAAGTTAGGTCCCCAGCATGATGGAATTGGGAGGTAGTGGAACTTTTAAAAGTGAGGACTGGTAGGATATAATGTGATCACTGGGGACACCAACCTTGGAATGGATTGATGTAGTTCTGAAGGAACTCCAGTTAGATCCTAAAAGGGCAGATTGTTATAAAAAGAGCAAACCAGATCCCCAAATCTCCTTGTTTCCTCTTTTGTCACATGATCTCTTCTACATGCACTCCTTCCATTGTGATGCCATTGCCAGAAGCTCTCACCAGAACCAACAGATGCTAGCAGTACACTTTTGAAGCTCTAGAAATGTGAGCTAAATAAGCCTCTTTTCGTTATAAAGTATGCAGGCTGGGGTGTTTAATTATAGCAACAGAAAACAGATTAATAGAGCAAATGCGCATAATTTAATGAATTGCTTCAAGTGGTCAGCCCTCTTCTTCTTTACCAATTCTTACATTATTCTTCCCCTAGCTCCCTTTGATAGAGTAAAATGTGTTGCCATGAGAGCTGCATGATGATCCAACACAGCATTTAACAGATTTTTAGTTTTTTGAGCGTCTTTCAGTCTCCAATACTTTTTTGTGTTCAAAGATTCACTATGAAGTTATGTGAACACTCATAAGAGGGTATCGCCCATGGGCACGCAGGCGACAGATTCAGGGTCACTCTTCGTGAATTGTGCTGGCAGCTAAAAGACCACACAAACACAGAAATGCCTTTTGCAGGGGTCAGGGAAGGCTCTGAGACCTCAGGTGTGAGCTCCCACACTGGGAGTCAAGGGGAGCAAGAAAGGCAAGAAGCAAGAGGGAGAGCGTACCCCAAACCCCTATATTTATTGGGAGAAAGACATTCAATAGAATATTCCACCCAAATAAGGCAAGGGATTGTGTTACAACAAATGGGGGGGGGCGTGTAGCCCAGTCCCATTAGGTGACACCCACTCCCAGAGCTGCACTTCCTTGCTGAACAAAGGTAAGGCCCACTTGCTTCTCACTGTGTGTGATGCCAGTTCCATACCCACATTACTCAAGGCTAAGGGGGCATGCTCAGCTCCTGTTCAGGGTGGCCCCACAAGAGGGACAGGCAGCAGGGATGATATATTGGAAATTAGATGCTTCTATGTAAATTTCCTCGTTGATTTTAGGAATCTAAACACACATTTAAAGCATTTGCCCAACACATTCTATAGAACACACCTACAGTGAAGATATTCCATAATAAATGCTTGGTACTTAAGGTTTGGAAATGCTGGATTAAATAGTTCTTCCTAACACAGGACTGCCTAAAGTTTTTAACAGCCTAGAATGCATTTTAAATATCTATAGAGAGGCAGATGCTATAAGGACATCCTCAATAGAAGTGTTCTGAGACTAAAGAACACAAAAGCATTCTACAGCTGGGTGTAGAGACACATGCCTGTAATCCCAGCAACTTGGGAGGCTGAGACAGGAGAATCACAAGTTCAAGGCCAGCCTTAGCAATCTACCAAGGTCCTAAGCAAGTTAGTGAGATCCTGTTTCAAAAAAATAAAATAAAATGGGTTGAGAATGTGGCTCAGTGATTAAGCAACCCCAGGTTCAATCCCTGGTACCAAAAAACAAAACACAAAGAAGCACTCCACAGAGGTTACCCTGGTGTTTGAGTTGGGTGCTGTACTTCCTATAGAGGTAGAAGAACATGAATGCCAACAGAGGCAAATAAAAGGTTCAGTTAGATGCCCAGGTCACATGGCTAATAAGTGGTGGAGGTGAGAATTAGTTTGAGGCCAACCCAGTCCCAGTTATGTGTTTTCCACCCCGAACCTTTGATACCTAACATGCACTTGATGCTTATGACCCTTGACCTCCTTTCCCAGCTTTACAAAGATCTCAGAGGGGACCTGTCAGCATCCATTCCAGCCTCTAAGGATGCCATCTCTCCTAAGCGTTTGCAGGCCAACAAGCCTCCTAGATAGTCCTGAGCCCTGGAGATATCAGGCCACTGAGTTAATCTGCCACATTTCTGCAATCTAATCATGGTAATGGCTTTCTTCAATTTATGATAATAAATTTACACATCTTACACATCTCCCCAATTGCTGACTAGCACATTTGTTTCATATTAAAACTCTAACAAGAATGGGTATGGAAAGTGATCATTTTGCTTCAGAAATAGTAGGGGAATTTATCACCAGAGTGCCACCTGATATGAGCCTTGTAAAATGAAATAGATTATGTACATCTAGCATTCTACTTCTAAAAATTGGCAACTTAAAAACATTTTAAAATTTAAATTATGTGCCATTGACTATTATGAGTAAAAAAGTATTTTAGGTCAGATTTACACCATAATTAGTTTTTCTGGAACTCTACTAATCTCTGCGGGGGCGGGGGGGCAGGGAATGAAAGTCACTGTTCGACCTAAGAATTTTGCAGATGATTCTCAGTGCTGAGCCTCTCAACAGAAAAGTAATCCGTAAGCAGAGTCCCATCTGTTATTTCAGAATGTTTCCCTGATTAATGATAAAGTGCTTGCTAAAGTCTGCTAGGAACATAAAAATGTAGATATCACTGAATCCAGTAATATTTTATTCTTACCCAAAGAAATTTACTGAAAAAAAGCTTTTTGCTTTTATTTGGGACCCCAGTGAATCAAACACTGTCTGTGTAACATGGACATAAATTATTATTACTGTAAGTCATTCAAAGCATCCTCGAATGCCAGAGCCCCCTGGGCTCAAAGCTTTTGCTATGCTAACCAGGGAAATGGGTAGAAACGGTTATAGGTAGAAATGAGTTAAGGACAGATACATGAAATTCACAAAGAAAAGACAGAAAGTAACATAAACCCCAAAAGGCAGAAGAGAGGGCAGGGGATACAGCGTGAGGGTGGTGTGCAGGCTGGGCTGACGGACAGTACTCTGGGGCAGAGAGGCAGGCTAAGAGTTTAGAGGACTACTGCAATGTTTGCAAAGTAACTGAAAGCTAAATCGATGTGCAAACAGAATTGTGAATATGTTCTGCTGTCCTTGAAGCATTTATTCCAACTTTTAATTTCCTCCTGAGAGATTAAATGAAAGAAATATCTTTTTTCTTTTCTCTACTAACTGGTCTTTCTTTGATGCCCAGTTGGGCCAAGTTTGGATCATGTGAGACCCAGGTTATTTCAATTTCCCAAAACACAGATGTATTTTATATCCTGCGTGTTTCATTAAAGGAAAGGGAAATCAAAACATCACCACTAAAGCCCTAGATAAATAAATTACTTTGTTTTTCAAGAGAAGACTAAAGTTAAGCAACATAATTAATTTTCTATTAATTCTTTCATACTGAGACCATTAATAGTTATTCAGTCTCAAGCTAATTACCAATATGACTAATGGGCCAAATGTGTCATCACAAATTAGAAAACATATTGCAGATACTACACTGTTGTCTAGATTTCTGTATTTATTACTTTATTTTATTTTTTTTAAATTTTTTATTGTGGGTTGTTCAAAACATTACAAATTTCTTGACATATCATATTCCACACTTTGATTCAAGTGGGTTATGAACTCCCACCTTCACCCCATACACAGATTGCAGAATCACATCAGTTACACTTCCATTGATTTACATATTGCCATACTAGTGTCTGTTGTGCTCCGCTGCCTTTCCCATCCTCCACCCTCCCCCCTCCCCACCTCTCCCCTCCCCTCCCCTCCTCTCTCTCTACCCGCTCCATTGTATAACCCTGAGGGTCTCCTTCCATTACCATGCAATTTCCCTTCTCTCTCCCTTTCCCTCCCACCTCTCATCCCTGTTAAATGTTAATCTTCTTCTCCTGCTCTTCGTCCCTACTCTGATCTTAGTTACTCTCCTTATATCAAAGAA